TGTGACTTTTGACTCCATGGAAGTACAAAGATGCTCTGAAGATGATCTAGTTAAGACTAGAGCATAAAGCTTTGAAGCTAAAATTTCAACCAGCAGCTCTGATACCAGTCCATTTCTGATAGAATTTGTTTTCAGATGACATTCTCAGAAAAGATGCTTTAAGGCCTTTATTTTTGTCTCCCAATTTCTATGAAGTTTCTGTGAAAGTCAGCCTAAAATGTCATCTTTCAGTTTCAGCTGAATAGTTCAAGGCTTTTGTAGGAAGCCTGCTAAGGCCTGTCTTAAGATGCACTTGCAGCTATCACCAAGAGATTTTTCAAGACCATCTGTCTGAAGGTGGAAGGAATGAAGAATTCTCCAGCATTGCACTGTATGAAGTATTCTTACACATGCTATTTAGAAAGCTAATTAGGAGGTAAACACCTTCAGGTTTTGAGCAAACACTTAATATCTGAAAACCACAAATGTGCTAGGGAGTAGGGGAAAGGAAGTAGTTTGTCAATGCATTGTTACACTAAACAGTTCTAGTTTGTGTTCCCTTTGCCCCAGTACAGGTTAGCTTAACTGTATGATAAAGAAGGGATCTAATCATAGAGCCTACTTATCCATATCAAATAGACTACTTAACTGTAGAAGCAGATGTAAATCTAAAGGAAGTGGTTAAATACCTCTTACTATGTCTAAGTTCATTGCAGTGATATCAAAGATGTCCAAATATTTCTTTGTACTAAGACAAAGAAATCACAGCCACTTAGTGTTGTCCTTTTAGATAATGCAAACTAGCTCTTTACCTTCTTTCCTAGTCCTCATTTGTGGCGTTCCCTTTCCTTTTAGACAAAAATGTAAATTCCTGAGTGTCCTGTTGGTAGCACCCTGACTGTGTCTTTGAGAACAGCACGTTTGACTACTGCACTAATTTCTTTCCAGTCTGCTTGCCCTCTTAAGCAGGTTGGGACAAAACTGTTAATTAGTGATGCAACTACACTGTTTGTCTAGACACTTCCTTTCCACAGAGCCCAAATGCTTCTGTTCCTCTTCCCTTCTATTTCCAGGTGGTATCTGGAAATTGAAAGATGTTAAGTACCTGACATTCTGTGATCTTTCTGTGCTTTTTTTAAAGGAGAATTGATGGAAGCCATCAAGCGTGACTTTGGTTCCTTTGCAAACTTCAAGGAGAAGCTGACAGCCATATCAGTTGGTGTTCAAGGATCAGGCTGGGGGTGGCTTGGCTATAACAAAGAGCACGGGCGCCTACAAATAGCAGCTTGTGCAAATCAAGACCCTTTGCAAGGAACAACAGGTCAGGGTTTTTTCCCTCCCCTCTGCTTCTCTCTTTGTAGATTTTCATAGGCAAGTGTATGAGATCTGAAAAGGGCTTTGTGGATGAATGCTGAGAAGAAATTGCTGGATAAATAGGGCTGGGAAACTGAGTATCACTACTAGCAGAAGTGAAAAACAGTTGCAGTTTTTAAAACAGCATCTGCAAAGCAGGACTTAAAAACTGTGAAGAGCAGTAGGGTTTAAAGTCTATCTAGTCAAAGGGGAAATAGATGTGGCATATTTTGGAAGTACTTTCTCTAAGACAATAGTTTTAGCTTAGGCTCCTTTGGATTATTTTTGGGTAACTGGAGTAGCTTGCCTGTATAGAGGAAGATTAAGCCTCTTGCCTTCAGATTGTTTTCTGTGGCAGAGAAGCTATTCACAGAACTGCCAGTGTAGGCCAGACGACAGGAGAGGGAAAGGTGTACATTACTCTTTTTGCTGTGCAGGCTGGCTTTGAAATGAGAGGTTTATAATCTGCTTCCTTAATATTGGTAAAGAGTAATGAGTGTCAATTAAATAAGCCTTGGATGGGGATAAATCTTGCAGCTAGGCAAGCAGCGTAATACTGGCCATGATCACTTTTGAAGATGTTTTTACTTGCGTAGAGTGACATGGCAGTGATGATGGAGGCTGGACACCCAGCACAGAGGGAAGAGCTCATGGCCAGGGAGAATCCTGCCTGCAGCGGCTCTTTGTCTAAATCCTATTGCAGATATCTTTAAAACATGCTCTGTAGAACTCACAGAGAATGGCAAGGAATTTCATGTGTTGTCAGTAGTCCATGTATTGCTTATCAGTAGGAAACAAAAAATAGAATAATTTTATTGTAGGAACATAGAGCATAATGTGGGTAAATTTTACCACCCCTCACACCCCCTCCCCCCCATGAAAACACCCCATCAAAAATTCAGTAAGAAGGATATTTTATCACAAAAGCAAGTAAAGTAATTAGACAATTAATAACTTGTGATTAAAATATTGGAAGCAAACTGGCATGGCACGAAACTCCTTCATGGTGTAACTTCTCAGGAAGATGCTTGCATAACTATGCAAAAGATGTAAACCTTTAAAAAATTACTTTATCTTGTTTCAGTTATGTCTTCAAGGCAGTTCTAAGAGTATCCATAGGTGTTATCTTAATCAGCTCTTTTGGTTTATGCAATATGTGTGTGTGCGGAGAGCAAACAGTTCTGTATAATGTTGCAATAAGCACCTATGTGCTGGGGAGCTCTTTGTCTCCCTGCAGACAAAGGCATGGAAATAGGGTACAACTTTGGCATGCAATATAAGACTTTACATGTAAAGTGTGGTTGTGTAGATTTACAAAATTTATCCTCATTTTTTTTTCTTTTTTTACAGGTCTCATTCCTTTGCTAGGAATTGACGTATGGGAACATGCTTATTATCTTCAGTATAAAAATGTTCGACCTGATTACTTGAAAGCCATCTGGAATGTGATCAGCTGGGAAAATGTATCTTCAAGATATGCAACTTGCAAAAAGTAGAATGGAGTTCTTGCACAGACTACTAAAATGTCACCACTTCTACTCTGATACCACTCTTGTAGTCGTGCCTGTGGCTTACAAATGAATTGTTCTACTGCGGAAAACACTTAGCTCATCCAACAAAAGCATTTCATAATCAAGCAAAGTGTCTGCTTGTTTAATACTGTGAGAGAGGTATTTACGTAGATTTTTGAAGCTTTAAACTGTTGTGCAACAAAGGGAGACACTTTAAATAATCTTTTCCATTGCATATAGAAACATAGATCACCTTGCTGAAGCTTATTGAGGTAATGGATTTCCTTGTTGCACTAAAATACCTAAGTGGAAACATACTTCATGTTGCTATAAACAAATAAAACTCAAAAGAAGAATCTTCTATAATTGTCTATAAGAGACTCATTTTTTGTAATAGCTGGTCCAGTTACTTACTTGATTTGAAAATGGTTGGAGAAGAGAAACGCCTTTTGTAATTTGTTGTATTACAGGGTATGGAGCTTTCTTACAGATTAAAAAAATAAATGAAAGGGGAAATAGGTGTTGCTGTGCCTGCCTGACTTGACTGTCTTCAGTCACTGCTGCCTTTTCCTGGATCTCCTAGGTGAGATTGTCACTGATGCACTAGCTTCTGAAGTGTTACCTTGGGCGAGAGATTACAGTACTGGGTCAGGCTAAATTATTCATATAGGAACTGAATGACAGCATGTGATACTCATTCCATACTAGCTGTTCAAGTATATCCTAAAACATCCGTTAGCTTAGGAGACTGATTACATGCATATATCAAGTATGAATTCTCTCAGCATAGCTGTGTTCCTGAAGCAGTTATAACAAGTTAAAGTTAATGCTTTTGCGGTGGGAATGAAGTACCATCTGGTGTAAAGGAGCATGCCCAAAAGGTCTTGAAAATACAAGAAATGGTTGGTGTGTTTTGGTTTTTTTAGCTAATTCTGTTGCAAGTATTTCAGAGTTGATACTACTGAACATACATAGTACCTTGTGCATAAAGGTTTTTGGGGCTTTCTTAGTATGCTCCTTTAAGTTCAGGGTGGATTCGCAGGGAAACAAGGAATAGGCTTACATTGCCATCCTGTTAGGCTGCTATTTTAAAGTATCAAGTAAAATTACGGGGAGAAGTATTTGCAAAGAAAGAAATGCCTTTCATTAGCAGATGCAAGGAGAGAAACTGCCACCACCACAGGAGCAGCCTTTAGTCACTAACCAAAGCTGCAGCTGGTGAGATACCTCTGTTCTGAATAAGATTGAGTTGTGCAAACATGACTTACTTCACATTTAAAGTGTTGGGGTTTTTTTTCTACTGTGGGATTTTTTTTTTCTAGGCCTAGTTCTCATCCCAGATACGCAGCTTGAACTTCTGCTTCAGTCTGGATTCCTTCATAATCTTGTTTAAAACTTGTATCATCATCCCTCACATCCTTGGTTTGCCTCTGAGGAGGTGAGAGCAGTGATGAAGGGAAGTAAGTGTATTGGTAATCAGTCTGGCAGCTTTTGACTTGAATTAAAAAAAAAAAAACAGCCTACTGAAGGGTCCATATTCCCGCCATCTGCAAAATCCTCTGTTAGTCTGGAGAGCTGGTGAATGAAGTCTGTCACAAACTATGCTCAGCTTTTCTTCTTAGAGAGGAAGCCTGGGTCTCTATGAGTAAATACTAGCATCACATAGATTTTTCCCTGATAGAAGCTTCTGGCAGAAAGAATTACACTTTCTAGGTGGCAAATCAAAGCTAAATTTTTGCTGTAGTTATTTACTGGGGTGATCAGTTTATTTTAAACCCATCTTCCTAACTTAATGTGCCCAGCCTCTGTCCTCATGTGTTTCCTCCTAAGCCCTTCATAACGCTTAAATTAATGCAAAATGCATCTTGTAGCCCAGAATATTCCTGTTGCAAGACTACTGAAGGAAATCCTTTTTAAGGATTTAATATTAGTTACAGAGTTGATTAATATTGTTGATAATTATTGGAGAAAGGAGCAGTATTTACCATAACTTGTAAATTGTGTAGCTAGTGATAGATATAAAGCTTAACTTAAGCAAATTGGGCCAGTATCTGGATTAGTAAAGGCCAATACTTAGGTTTTAGTTGTCAGACTTAAGCTTATTGAAATCTTGCAGATAAGGTGGATTGAATGGGGGTGAAGCAGTGGCTGTTTTTTAGAGGAGGAATGGGCACTTCAGATTATGAAGAGAATCCTTTGCTGCTTGCTTTCCAGAAGTACCTTCACAGTACAGAGGAGGCATGTTGTGTTCACCATGGGGTCTGCCTGAAGATGAAACAAACAGTGGAGTCCTTTTTTCCTTTCCTTGTTCATGACTGTATGATGTGGTGAAATACCACATAGCAGAGATCAAACCACCCTAATGGAGTGCTCCTCCTCAATGAGTGAACGCTGAGGCAGGGCTTTGGTGGTGAGTGCCATTGTGCCTATGTCAGGCGTCTTCTTGGTACTGCATGCTCTTAAAGAGCAGAGGTAAACATGCCTATAGACTGGTGCTCTGGAAGGTAGTGTATAAGCTATGGAGGAAGCTTAAGAGTTAACCCCAGGTGGTGAGGAGGTAAACCATCAAGGGTTCCTCAAGCAGGACCGGCTCTTGCTGAGGCTTTGAAGCCAGTAGCATGAGACCCAACATGTGCTGGTAAGGCTTGGTTTCTGCTGTGCGCCAGGTTAAGAAGAAGTTCCACTCATCTCCTGCTTCCAGTCAGCTGGTGAGCTTGTCCTGATGCCTTGTATCCTGTCTTTAAGTCTGAACGCAGAAAGTCCGGAGCTGGACGCAGACAGGAATGTTTGTGGAATAGGAAGATGAAAATTCACTAAATGTTGAAGGAAAATTGTAGAAATATGGAAGCAATGAAAATTATTTAACGTTTGTTCTGGTGGACAATTACAAAGAACAAACAAAGGTTAGTTGTGTGGTTTGTTTGAAGGAAGGGCTTGGTTAAACTGTCTTAACTCCAAACTTCTGTGAAATCTGGAAAAAGTCCTAGTGGTTCTGGGACACTAGGAATTGAAGTATGTGGCTGTAATTTAGCAAGTCTGCTAGCAAAGCTGTCAACTGCCTGGGCAGTGAAAGTGCCTAAACCTCTTACTAGCCTGTGTTAGGCAGTAAGCTTGGAACCAGTGTCGCTGTTCAGAACTAGAGCTCTGCATTACAGAGATTGCTGTGCAGGAGGGCAGGTCTGTCTCTCCCTGCATGAACGGAGAAACAGCCGATCTCCTGTGCCCTGGCTGAACGGACAAGTCTAAGACCCGTTACTCAAAAACTAAACTACTAATGCAGTTTGTTCGACCTTGAACTTCCTGGCCCTAAGGGTAGAAATAGCAGCTGTACGTGTAAAGTTGTCTCCAACCCGAACTGTGCAGGGTACCTCTCATCAACAAGCATTAAGTCACTTGCAGACTTGATCTGCGTGACAGCAACAAGGAGTTTTCTAACTTCAGCGCTAGCTGAATCGATCTTTGACCTTCAACCCAAACTATTCTATAAGTCTATGAGATTGCATCCTGACAGTCCCCCTGAGCCTAGCTTTTGTCAGTCCTTGCTTAACAGTGTTGCTTATGAAGAGGTCATGTAAATACACATAGTTAACATATTGTGGCCTACACACAAATGAAAACAAGATCTTGAAATCGTTTTCAAGCGGGGGGAAAAAAAGCGCAGTACCTAATACAAATCCTCTTGGGAATGATTACGTATTATGAACCGGAGGAACAAAGTGCATCAGGGTGATCCCATAAGAAGTACTTACGGGTGGCAAAGCTGCTGCCCTTAGAGAGTTCGGTTTGAAGACTACAAACAGATTTCAGTGGCTGAACTTCCTTTCAGAAACAGATGCAATCAGGTCTCAGAGGGCAGTACACTGCTGCGAAATGCAAGTGCACATTTGGGATTTTTAATTTTCCGACCTGTAAAAACACATTTGAAGGCTAACACGAATTGCAAAGCATGTGTGTCTCATACTGTACTGGAAAAGATGGAAGTAATTTAAGGCCAGCCAAATGGAGCCCAGTGCCAGCGAGCCTGGAGGTGGCACCTTCATCCTGCTGTTGAAACAGGAGAGGTCTGTAGATGTCTTCGCTGAGCAGCCAGAAATGGAAATAGATAAAAGGTGCTTTTTCCTTCCAGCTTCTACTTTCCACCTCACAATTATTTATTTCACCTTTATCTAGAGCATGTATTAAAAAAACCATAAGAAAAGTAGTAGTAAACCCCAAACTGTCTCCAGAAAATGCTCTCAGTGACTAAGCTTGTGAGCTGGTAGGCTCTTACAGTTGTATTAAACCCTCTGTTTACAGAAGAGTTACTGTTTTTGTTTTGCATTCTAATCTAGCAAATTAGGCCTAAAATGCTGCTACGCCATTCTGCTAACATTTTACATCCCTATTGCATTGACCTCGCAGAAATTAATCATTACACTAGTATAAAGCAAAAAAGAGTTGTGTTTGCAGTTGTGTCTAATATCAAGCGGATAAAATACCGGTAACTTAGTAGGCTCAACCTGCCTTTTCCTTAAAGTGCTTTCTTCTTAATGGTTAGAAGTAATGCCCTCGGAGTTCATCATAGCTGTTTTTACCCCTTCGAGTCAAAAAGCAGCGGCGCTGGGGGCCGTGGGCGCGTAGGGGCGCTTGGCAGCCTCCCGTCCCGAGCACCAGCGCTGTGCGCTTCCCAGTAGGTGGGAGTGTGCAGCTGCGCTAGGCGGCTGCCCGCGGGGCTCCTGGCCTGCCTCTCCGAGAGGCGGGTGAAGGAGCAATTTTCCTGGCTCTCGCTGGACGGGGGAGGAACTCTTGGGGCTGTTGCTTCCACTTTCTAAATAATCAGTCTCCCCGGCCACTGAAGCCACCTGGCAGTACATGGGGAGGGGGCAGCGCTGCGGTAGAGAAGACTATTTTAATACGTACAGTCAAATATAGGTCTTGCTAGAACTAAAGCCAGGCAGGCAGACGCTAGAGAAAGGAACCCCTAACTAAAATTAAATAAATTAAAATAAAAGGAATTACTAACTTCCAGGTTCCCCCCTGGCTGCCTCATCAGGCTCTAACTATGTCTGTGTAGGGACATCCAATGCCCGTGACGTTCCAAATGGTCTTTTCACACCCAGAGACCAGAGATGTAACCGCAAGGGATGCAGTCTGTTACATTGCTATAATTAAGCCAAGACTGCAGAGCACGCAGCAGGCTACCCGAGGCACGGGGGTTTATAGTTACCAACGGTGCTGCCTCGCAGGGCTCTTGCTGCTCTAGGGAAATCCCAGCTTTTCACTGGATCTTCTCACCCGAAGAGATGGATGGACAAATTAGCGCAGAGGCAAGTCAGCAAACCTGCTGCTGGACCTGCCAGAGCTGGTAGCAGACCCACGTAGCCTTG